GCCACTGGACACGGAAGAAATATCTGCAGCATGTTCTTTGCGTAAAATATGTCTCTGCTGACTACCCTTTCTTGTTTCTGTTGTTGCTTCGCTTACATTTAACTGTGTGGGAAGTAAAACACATTTATTACTGGAATTTAGCCCAACTGTTATTGCTCCTGGTATTTTACTATTTTCAGCATTTAAAATTTCTCGAAAATCTTTTTCCCATTGAAGTAACTTGATTGGTTTATTTCCTGTTAATGACAAGTCAGTTTTTTTCTTAACAGTGCTTTTCGTATTGTTAAGAAGTTTTTTCAACTGATTTATAGTTATGTTTTTCCCTGTATATTTTATGAATTCCTCTCTAATTATCATCCAGGCAGTTTCTTTTGCTGAAACTATTTTTGGTACCATTGACTTATTTAGTACTATTTTATTGTTTTCTGACTAGCTGTGCTCGGTTATCAGAAGCAAGTTTCGGTTGTTTACTTTCTTCGACACTAGAAGACATCCTAGTTGTTAGTAATCTTGAGCTTTCTTGTGTCCGAATTAAAAATAACTTAGTTAAACAAAAATATACAGAAACCTAAAGAGATTTATACGACGCGTAAGGTTTAGAAAGCAAATACTCGTAAATAGGACGATTTAAATATGTGAATAAGGATAAACAAGCTAAGTCTTGCACGCGCTGCAGGTATTACCTCAATATTAACAAGTAGACCTTTCTGAGTCATGCCTTACAATTGTTCACTCATTGCCAAGCATTTGCTTCAACTCTCAAGGCAACACTTTTCACGTAAGTGAATGCTTCTGAAGTGCTTACTTGGTTTTATTCACCTCACCCAATAACTCAATAACTAACCTGTATTGGTCCTGTTGCAACCTCGCTGCTGCGCGTCGTAAGGAATACGTAGTACTGGTGTAGCGAAGCAAATACTCAAATTGGAACGTTGATAAGTAAATACCTGCTAGTAATTACTTCAACTTTTCCAGCAAACGCTACCTAGTAAAAGTAAACGCTTGTTCTCTCTAAATTAAGTATTTGCTTTTACTTGACAGACCTTACTTTACTAAAAAAGTAAATACTACCTAGTGTTTACTATTTTTGATTCACTTGGCTTATTACATTTTTTTTTGAGAAATCAAGTTCTTTCGTAACAGTGCATATGCGGTTAAAATTTGTCGGATAAGTTGTGAAACACCCTGTATAATCTTCACTCTTTGGACTGTCCGTATGCATCTAAGGCCTCTTTTAATATTTATGGCAAATTTCGACTCTGTTACAATGTTATACAAGTTTTATTTTCCCATTGACTGAACACTGACCGTTTATTACGCCGAATGCCCAACTAATTCCCATCAACCCGGCTCGGAAACATAATCCAAACGGCGTTAAACAGTAGAAAAACAAACGCTGAACGGTACTAAGCAGGAAGGGACAGGAAAAATAAATCAGTACTCGCTGTGCATACATAAGTGTGTTTACGCTAACGAATGTCGAAGAAGAAAAAAGGGTGAAATCAAAATATACAGCGCTCCGCTAGTGTTTGTTTAAGTTCGAAGGCGATGCTTGTGTTGGAACAAATAAGCTGAAGAAACCTTCATAATTAGATACAACACGGAACCGGAAAATCAAGATGGGTCGAGAAAATGTGTTAATTGGAAGATATTCTCTTGTTTTCTGTTGCCTCGAGCAAGTAACGCCTTAAAACAGCCTGTGAGAAGTGTGATAATGTCACAATTATAAGATACGACGATGATGATAATACAGTTATGAACGTGAAAACAACAAACCCGCCTTAGCCTTAGAAGTACCACCCTGTTCCGAGTGTCAAGTGAACCTTTTACAGAGCGTTTCATATGTGTGTCTAAAATATCGTGTATGCTTACACAATTAGATAAGGTCCCGTCGCCTTTCTGTACGTTATTCAGTGCTTACCTCTTACCGCCAGCATCCCGATACTCTAAGGCCGTACTTTTTCAACTGTTCCATTAAAAAAAAAAATAATAAATCAGTCGATATTTCAATCGATTAGATGGATGGATCTTTATTTCCAACAGGTACAATCACCCAATTACAGGAAATAGTTCAAAAAGAAAACAAGAGCAACACATAATCCTAGTATATAAAAAAAAAACACAATCAAATTAATAATACAGCTAGATCAAAAAGCCAAAATATTGAAAAAAAAAAGAATAACTCTAACCGCAAGAAGGTCATTACATGCCATGGGAAATGGCAAGATAACGTTGTTTAAAGTCAGTTCTAGATGAAGTATTCACATCACAAGATTCACCTAAAGAAAGTTCTCACACATAACCGTGACCGGCGATTTTCTCGAGATATTTGTTCGAGCTAATTCGCAGTAAAATGTCATTTGGTGACGCAAATTGCGCACAGGTACATGAAAGTTAAGCTTACTTAATATATATTCATATATGACATCATTGTGCAAAACATCATAAAGAAAATTTAAACTACTTATAACTCTCCTACTATTTAGCGAAATACAGTCAAATGTATTCATGAGTAAAGAATAATCACATCCTCTCTCCGGATATTCGCCTGTCCACTTGAAATGCAGAAATTTCAAAAACTTTCTTTGTATTCGCTCAATATGGCTTATATGAACCGAATAGATGGGATACCAAATTAAAGAACAACTTTCCAATTTAGATCGAACGTACGAAAAATAAAGAAGTTTCAAAACATGTAAATTGGAAAATTGTCTACTGTTTCGGATGATGAAGCCCAACATTCGGTTGGCTGATGTTGTGATATTATTTATATGATCACAAAATGACAAATTGCTATCAAAGAGAACACCGATATCTTTAATTTGATAGCACCTATTCAACTCATTCTCGCTGATTTTGTAGGACCATGTTATTGGTTCTTTCTTGCTGGTGTACGTTAATATGAAGCATTTATCTACATTAACTTCAAAATGATTAGCATTACACCAATCCAAGACAAGGTCAATGTTGCCTTGTAAAATTTGGCAGTCCGAATTTGAGCTTATGTTAAAAAAAATTTCGAGCTCATCCGCATAGAGCAACTTTTGGCATGTAATCATCATAGCTAGGTCGTTTATATATAACAAGAACAATAGAGGTCCTAAATTCGATCCTTGGGGAATCCCAGATGTTGGCGAGAAAATATCAGAGCGGTGCCCTTCATATTCCACAAATTGCACTCGATTAAATAAATACGATTTAAGCAAGCTTAGAAGACGTGCCGAAAACCCAAATCCTTGTAATTTTTTCATTAAAATGTATAAGTCTACTCGGTCAAATGCCTTCTGTAAATCCATGTAAACTACATCCGTCTGTCCTCTGCTATCAAGGTTTTCACTGATGGATTGAGTAATACATACCAGATTTGACGTACAAGATTTTTTCTCTTGGAAGCCATGCTGTTCTGCTACAATTAGGTTTTTAGTGTGAATATAAATCACTTCATAGACAGTAATTTCAAATACCTTTGAAAAGTTGGTTACTGCAACGATTGGGCGGTAATTTTTAATTAAAGCTCTATAACCCTTCTTCAGCACCTGGGTAACTCTGGATATCTTCCAGTTGTCTGGAAAGATGCCCGTCTTCAAAATAATGTTGAACAGATGTACTAATGGTCTGAGTAGCGCATGTATGCAATCCTTCACTAAGAAGCTGGGTATTTGATCCGGGCCTATAATCAACTTATTTTTTAACTTTTTCGCCGTTTTAAGAATATCAGCTTCACATATTTGAGGTAAATCTATAAACAAGGAGTTACCATAATCCAGGATTACATTTTCACTAAGGTTTTGATCAGGAGGTGTATAAACTGTCGAAAAATACTGTTTAAATGAGTCAACAATATCTTAGGGTTTTGTTAAGGTAGATTCATTATATTTCATCATACCATTTAAACGGGATATTCCTTTTTTACTGTGGATAAAATTCCAAAACTGAGAAGGATCTGATAAAATATTGTTTTCTGCTGCCAAAATAAAATTACGATATTCGTTGAGTTTTTATCGTCCTTCGTAAAGAATCAAATCTTGTACGAGATGCTTCATCTCCATATCTTTTGTAGTTTTTATGTACTCGTTCTTTTTCTTTTATTTTATTTATTGTGTCTACGGAATACCATGGTGGGAACCTACGGGTCGGAATAATTTATTTGGGTACAGTTCGGTCGAATATTCTATACAAAGTTTGTTGCAACATTTCAGTCGCTGCATTAGGATCCGTGCACTGATAAATATCACTCCAATCAACAGTCGACATTATTTCGTACATAAGGACAAAGTTTGCTTTGCGGAAATTGAAAACAGTTTCAGCTTTGTTGGGACTAAAGTTAATGGTTCTGGTAATTCTAGTGCTAATAGTGAATTGTAATGCAGGATGATGTCTGTCTTCATATACAAGTGGTGTATCACTTCTTTCAATTCGACATTCACTATTACTGAAAACGAGGTCTAAGTATCTATTGTTATAATTTGGTATAATGTTATATTGTTGGAACTCAAACATTTCTGCGAAGCTCTTTACTATTATACATTTAGAGTCGTTATCATCATAGCCATACATAGGGATGTTGAAATCACCAGCAATTATGGTCGAGCTGTTATGACTGGAATTGAAAAGAGAAAAATTGTCAAAGAATATTTCAAAGTCCTCAAGCGAAATATCCGGGGGGGTGTAAACAGCATATATATATATGTATATATATAGTATGAAACCCTAAATGAAGTTTACCACCGACTAAATCAATCTTAGGACAACCTAACTGAATACCATCCAAATCAAGAGGCTCAAAAAAATAACAATTTTTGACAGCAATGGATAAGCATTTGGATAAACGGGTATCTGCAAAATTTCTGTCCTTCCTAAATACAGTGTATTCAGAAGGAAAAACTTCGGCATTAAAAACTCCTTCATTCAACCATGTCTCAGAAAGAAAAATTATATCAAAATTACAATTCAGGCTTAAATTATTATAAAAACTGGAAGTTTTAGAGTTAAGTCCGTTAACGTTTTGGTAATAGCAGTTTATTTCACTAACATAATTGGGTGTAGAATCTAAAAATTCACTATCTTCGGAAAGCCGCCAACATATTTAATCTTCAAATTGGTTTCTCCTTTATTCTTTCTTTCCTCCAGTTCAGATTTCAGAGTCTTATAGAAATTCATTTGACGTGGCGTTTTGTCAGTAGAGATAGAAATATGTTTGAATTCACTAGAGTTTCTCAACGACGGACATTTTTTTATGAGTTCACTCACCAAGCGTAACTTTTATGGGCCTTCCAATTGTCCTATTTTCATCAAATTTGCCAAGTCGTCTAATGTTTGTAACCGTAATTGAAGGTGTGACGTGGGTCAAGACTTTAACGACTTCAGACTTTTCTAAAACTGCCTTATCATCTTTTGTCGCTCCATTCTGCTCCTTCAACCCAAAAATGATTACATTGCATCTTCTATTTTGTCTTTCTGACACTTCTTGTACAATATCTTCAAACTTGTATCGTTATTTTTTGTTGACAACGCTTTTACCTCATTTTGTAGAGGTACAATAGCTGCTTTCAAGGCATTTATGTCTCCCCCCATCTGCTCACATTTCCCACAGGTCCATGAGACTGATTTTTTTGAGTTTATGAGTCGCGTTTCTGAAGTTGACAGATTGACGCATACATGGTAAAAGCTTTTTCTGCAGACACAACAGGATAACAGTAGATGAGTATCAACTACCTTCGAGCAGCAGCTACACGTTTGCGACATGTTCAAACATTAATTGGTACACCTCTGTATATGTAATCGAGGTTATGGCATATCACAGCCGAATTAATCAGGACATAATCAATTAGCTAATGATTATGCCGTAGTTTTCTTACCAACCTCTTCCAATATGACCCAATGGCACAATCCTCAGAAAGAACTAGCAATTTCAGTCACAAAAACTCTTGAAAAATTCTACAAACACCGTAAGAAATATAGGCGTGTCGTCTTGCGACAGTCTTTCTACTACCTGGTGAACAAAATTAAAATAATGTTTTGTCACATGGACAAAACAAGGTGGTTAGTTATTTTGTAAAACGTACCCAAAAAGCCGGAAATAGCATTCGATTTTTTCTATCACTCACGGTTTTCTTGCAATAAGGCATTTTATTTGCTGCTTATACTCGTAAAATAAAAGGGTAAGTGTGTAAGAGTACTAATAAACATTAATCTCAGAATGTTGTTGTTGATGTTTTACGGCGGTATGTTGCTCTTGAAGTATCTCTTAACAATGTCCAGTAATAATCAGCAAGCAAATTGACATTCCATTTGCCTTGATACCGTTTTTCCGTAGCAGAAATGTCTTGGTGGAACCGTTCACCATGTTCATCACTTACCTAAATTTTCCGGACAAAAATCTAGATGAGAATCCAAAAAGTGCATTTTTAGAGACATGTTAGATTCCATTCCTTTATAAGCGGTAATTAGTTTACTCACAATATCTTTATAATTGTCCGCCTTCACATAGCCTAAAAAATTTACAGTAACTGATTTAAAAGCATTTTAAGCTCGTAATGCAGTTTCATTTAAAGTACTGTTAAATACACCAACCTTCATGAATTTCCGTATTTGTGATGGACCCACAATTATGCCCTCTTTAATTTTTGCTTCACTAATTCTCGGAAATGTGTGTTTTAAATGCAAAAACCCTCTCCCATTTCGCACCATAACTTTCACAAAAAATTTTGACAGTCGCTAATTAATATGCAAAGGTGGGAAGCAACACGTTTTTGAGATGAACTAATGGTTCATCAGCAATGTTTTTGAGGCCCGGAGTCAATACCTGACGTAGTGGCCACTCCTTCTGTTCATAATGACGATCTCGCGCACGACTGTCCAATTCACAAAGAAAGCATCAATATTTGGTATATCGCACTTGCATTCCAAGAAGAAGGGCTATTGCCTTTACATCTGCACATATGACCCATACATATTTATTATAACGCATATATGCTCTAACAGAACTCGCATATTTTCATATGATTCCTTCATATAAACTGCGTGCGCTATATAGTTACAGATGGATATTTATTACCGTTGTGTACCAATACCGCTTTTAAACTAAGCTTAGAGGAATCAATAAACAGGCGCCAATCATTAGGATCATGTTTCTGTCAAACGAATTGTTGCCATCGGAGCAATATATCAACCCCCTTTCTTGACGGAAACAGTGTGTGAGGTCTTGTTGCCGTTTTCGACAAAAAGCAATGTTAACATCGCCGTGGAGAAGATTCCATCCTTTTAATCTTGATGCTAAAAGTTCTGACTGGGATTTTGACAGATTTAATTCTAGAACTAAGACATTAAGTTCGCCCTGTGTGATCAAATGCAGCGCTGTTGAACATCTTGGCAGGTCAAACGTAGGATCGGAAATTTTTACGCTTTCAGAATCGGTTGATTCGACTTTTTCATCCAAAGACCAAGATTCTGGTGGAACTGGGACAGAAAGTTCATCATCACTATGCTTAACGGGCCTTAAAGCTGATGGTAAATTAAAATACTTAACAGTATGTTTAGATTTTGGTTGAATACCTTTAACATTTGTGAGCCAAAAATAGCAATCAGTAGTATGGTCTGTCGGTTTTCTCCAAGCCATGGGTACCGCAAAGGGTATTTTACGATTGTTGCCTCTTAACAACGTTACACAAGTCTTACAACATATATGAGGGGCCCATAGTTTATCTTGGTCGCCAACTTTAATTCCAAAATAAAGTTCGTATGCTTTCAACACAAGGGGAGTAAAGGTAGGTACGTTTTTGGGATTTAAAGGTTAGCTCTCCGCAAACATAACAAAAACTGTTCGCACTATTTATACAATTTCTAGGCATTGATTGGCCATCAAGCTAGTCTCGATCACAATAAACTAAAAACAACACACCGTTTTAACAAACATTAACAGTACTTAGAGCATCTCAGTACTCTTCAACATAGGCTGCTATTAGTCTTCTAGTAAACGCAATATGCTCTCTAAACATAGAGCTCGCATTTATAATAAATAGAAATATACAGGTTTTAACATTATGTAGGTGCGTCATCGCATAAACGCCGAGAAATGCAGCAATATGAGATGTTACGTATTGTAATTCATAAAAGTAGATGTTACCGAATATCTGTGGATGATAGAAAAATTCTGTTTTTAGACTTGATTTAAGGTCTCAAAATACATAAGATACACTCAAAAATTGTCATGTCACAAATCCTGTATTTATCAGTGTTGTTGAAGATGAAGGCCTTCCGCTTTGTGGTTTACCTTCAATCGACTTTCCCCGTTCTGAGAATGACTTAAACCACCGAAAACCTGGGCTCTTGGCAACACACTCTCTCCGTAGGCCCACTGAAGTTTCCGTGGCGCTAAGCCCAAGTTTGAAGCAAAATAGAAAAAACTTTTCTCTAAAAAGATGGTAGAGTCATTTTATTTATTTTTCTGGTTATACGTCATGTATCAGATGGACAACCGCAAAATGAGTATCAAGATCACATTAATCAGTGGGGATTCACGACTTGACTTGAATTTCAAGCTACTTGACTTGAAATCAATGTAAATAAAGTCGATTAGTTTTTAAGTCAAATACTTGAAAATTCAACTATTCTTGATATCACTTGATAATTTTTGTAATATAAATAGATTAGAATAGGAATAGATTATAAAAAATACGTAACGGGAAAACTTTGTGACTAACATTTCAAATAATTTTATTGGCAAGTAATATATAAAGGTACGTATTATGTACAACACCCTGTACGTGATATACAGGCAAAACTAGTTTGCCATGCATGAACAGCCGTCAAAAACAGTGAAAACATCCTACTAAATATAATAGCTAGATAATCGACCTATTATTTCTCTCATTTTCATTGGTCCATTTAAATAACTATAATTCTATGAAAGTTATCCTAATTCTAAAGCACAAAGACAATATTACATCTATAATGTACTCTTATTTATAAGGCAACCGTTTTTTCACGACTTTATTCAACATTTCAATAGAAATCGCTGATATTCAGAGAGCTTTGACAGCTTCTGTCAAATTGCATTTCGATAAGGTCTTTTCCTATTGGTCCAAGGGACCGTTAAATATTAATGTTGGTGAAATTGGCCCTAACAGTAATAATGCGAGAACGCTTCCTAAAATGGTTTATTAAAACAATGCTTCTGAGACTAATCTATGTCAGTGTGTCTGTCTCTATTGGGCATAGATATAAATGCACCTTTAAAAGTTAACAGCCTGAGAACCCTCTAACATTAACATTTTATTTTTAGACTCACTCAAAATGTGGATCCAGCGCCTTGCGGTAAATTGATTCCTTATGTGTCTGTTAAAGCTACTATGAAGTTTAATGGTTAAATTAATTTATCTGATATAGTGGTAACATGTTTCTAAGTATATCATGTGAAATGCTTTCAAAATACAGAAATCTTTTTCGAATTAATATCATGAAACAATATTACACACCAAAAAGTTGAGTCTCAATACTGAACTGCTTAAGGATTGGTTGTAATTGCTGAATTATGAAACAATAGGAAAATGAGAAATAATGCTGATTCACTTACATCTCGTGTGTATTCATATGAGGTTACTTTGTTTTAGGTAAGCCTAGGTTTAGTTGCCCATCGATATGCGGGTAAGTTTATTGTTTCTGGTTCTTTATTGGTATCTAAAAAAGTTAAGCACAAAAATTGTATGTTCCTCATACCGATAAAGCATACTATGGAGTTTAATTTTTAGGTTGTTGAGATACTAGTTTTTTAAATAATTTATACAGGGTGGTTAAGAACGCAAAATGAACTATTTCTCATAATCTCTAAACGAAATACCCTGTATATTTTCACATATTTCGATTCCCAATTTCACCAGCTTTTTTCTGATATAAGGTTTATGGGGATCTCCAGAATTGGTCTTTGAGTTATTAAAAGCACATGGATAAGTAATTCTAACGATTTGCTGTTACATACTAAATACTATTTTGATATATGTTGAAGTATATCGCAAGCTTTTTAAAAGGGAATGAAAGAGTTCTTGACCATCTTGTATAAGCTATAAAAAAAATCAAAGTGAATAGGGAGAAAATATGGGATGATGAATTTGTCTAGTCAAATATCCAGTGGCTTTAACAGTTGAGGAGGTACGAGTTGTCAAAGTTGAGAGTTTTTCTCGATAGATCATCCAACATGTAAAAAATTTGAAACAAAATCCTATATCATGTCACATCATATTGTTTCGTTTAGAAGGGCCTATCCAAATATGCAATTAAATGTAGGGCTTTCTTTACAAATTGGTTACCACGTAGTTATAAATCATTGTGTAGGGATATAAATATTGTCTAAGTAAGGAGCATGCTATCGACTATAATGTTTGTAATTAATTGTTTAAGGTAACATGCATAATAAAGTATTGACCAAGGCCACGCAAAAAAACTCTCCCTATACGTATATAATGGGTGATTTTTTTGCTAGGATCTTTTTGGCAACACTGTTTTTGACGCGTGAATCGTGTCTTGTGTCATTGTCAAACTTGTTCAGTTTGGTCTATAATTTAACCATGAATGGACTT